CTCATATCCAAAAATGGGAAGTGCCAATACCCTGAAAGAAAAGCTCTGGATTAAGTATTCCCAAAAATAATTCTCAGCAAACTGGGGGGATATGAAAAGGTTTATTCAGTTGTAGATGATAGCCATAATAAATATGGCTCCTCTATGTAGAGGGTTAAGTTTGAAGACACCACTCAGGCACAGTTCCTGTAAGTACATCCTAGGCTTCAAATGTGAAAATCATTTCTACTTCTATATTCTCAAAACATCCCAGTTGGAGGTGCATGAAACTCAAATTGGGGTTTAAAGACCCTCTCCTCCCTCGGCATGACAATGTGCAAAGTACATGATAGGATCCCAATGATATGAGTGAGAAATAAATTATTGTTGTAGCCACTGGGTTTGAGGGTGTATTAGTCTCTTTTCATTACTGTAACAAAATTTCTGAGGCAACTTCTTATGAAGAAAAGAGGTTTACTGAACCCACAGTTTTGGTGGCTGGAAGGCTAAGATCAGGTGGCCTCATTGGTTCAGCTACTGGTTGGTATTCTGATGACAGCATGTGCTGGAGCAAGAGATCACATAGTGAGATAGGAAGACAGAATGACTCAAGGGTTGAACTTCTTTTGTATCAACTTGCTCTTCTGAGAGTTTGGGGGTCTCACAATAACTCTTTTAATTTCTTCTGAGGGTGGGTAACCACCCCAATGACCTAAAGACCTTCCATTAGATCCACCTGTTAAAAGTCCCACCACCTCTCATCACCACATTGGGGAGCAAGCTTTGAACACATGCAACTTTCAGGGACACACTCAAACCATATCCAAGCATAGCATGGTATATAGAATTGACACTTCTCTGTCAATCCTCTGTGTTCAAAACCACTTGAGAAGTAAACACAAGAATCATAATACCCAGTTCTATTATCAAGATGGCAGTTTGATGAATAAAGCATAGACATTAGCCAAAATTATGTTCCCTAATAACTTTCCACTTAAATGACCCTACCCATCACAAATATATGCTTCCTAAAATTACTTGCCTATTTTTAATATTTATATTCATTTGGGAGACAAGCAGAGCTCCTAACTACGGCTTCACTCCTCAAAAGCCTGTTGTAGCTGGCGGGGAGCTACAGTGAAGCTGGGATTCAGGAACTCAGTCTCTCTTCCATGTGGACGGCAGAGATTCAATTACTTGAGCCATCACCTGCTGCTTCCCAAGGTCTGCTTTGGCAGGAATTTGGAATTAAGAGCTGGAGCCTGAGCCAGAGCCATGTATCAAACCCAGGGGCTCATGATATGGGATACAGATAACTTAACCAATAGGACAAACACCTGCCCTATCCCAAACTGTCATTCTCCCCACATTAAGACTAGATCATGACATAGAAGGTTTACCTCATGGAGACATAGTGGTAGTTCTTAAAAAGAGGTGGGGCAAAGAAACAATCAAGCAATGTGGGTAATCTGAGAATGCTCACTTGCTTCTTTCCATTCCTCTGTCAGATAGTACACTCCTCTCAGGAAAGTATTCCTCTACTTTCCCTTCCCCCAGGAGAGGAACATTTTCCCTGGTGAAAAAACTCAGCTGGGGGAGCCAGCACTGTGGCATAGCAGGTAAAGCCACTGCCTGCAGTGCTGGCATCCCATATGAGCACCAGTTCTGGCTGATCCACTTCCAATCCAGCTCTCTGCTATGGCCTGGGAAAGCAGTAGAAGATGGCCCAAGTCCTTGGCCACTGCATCTGCATGGGAGACCTGGAAGAAGCTCCTGGCTGCTGGCTTCAGATCAGCATCGCAGCCCTCTGTGGAATGAACCACCTGATGGAAGATTTTATCTCTTTATATCTCTCTCTGCCTCTGCCTCTTTGTAACTCTACCTTTCAAATAAATAAATTAATAATTTTTTTAAGGTTTAAAAGCAAGATTTATTAGAGTCAAAGACCACCAGCCAGAGTGGCATGGAGGGGAGCTGCAAGAGAAGCAAAACCCGAAGAACCCTGTGGCACTGGAGCTTTTAAGTACAATTCTGTGGACAAAAATGTCAAGCAATAAGGTGGGGGCAACTCCAACAAAAGACCTTAAATTAAATTCTTTATCCTTTCTGACTTGCTCATTATAAAACAAAAAACCATCACAAGGGTGGTTTTCACAATAAACTGGAAGCTCAGAAGGGTGGAGTCACCACTTCCTTGCTATTCTCATGATAAGACTGGAAGCTCCCCAAGGAGTGGGCAAACAGGCACTTCTGACCTTGCTAAGAATAATTTTTTTGGGGGGAATATTTTCCACCCTCAATTTCCAGACTACCTATTAAATCTATTTGACTCCTCACATTCCCCTCTCAACAAGAATGAACCCTAACATCTGGGAGATGATCACTCTGGCTGCTTTGTGCTGAAAACGGGTGTCGTTGGGAACGGCAGTCAAGACAGGGTTCCAGCAGGAGGTGGCCTCTCAAGGGAGAGTAAAGTTGTTTTTTTTTTTTTTTTTTTTTTTTTTAACTCAGTTGAAACAGTGGAATGTTGATACAATTAAGCCCCCCAATAAAAGCTAATTGAACTTTATAAGGCCTTCTTTCTATTTTTCTTTTTTTTTTTAAATATTTTATTTATTTATTTGAAAGTCAGAGTTACACACAGAGAGAAGGAGAGGGAGAGGGAGAAGAAGGAAAGAGAGAGAGAGAGAGAAAGAGAGGTTTTCCATCTGCTGGTTTACTCCCCAAATGGCTGCTATGGCCAGAGCTGCACCAATCCGAAGCCAGGAGCCAGGATCTTCTTCTGGGTCTCCCACATAAGTGCAGGGGCCCAAGAACTTGGGCCATCTTCTACTGCTTTCCCAGGCCATAGCAGAGAGCTGTATTGGAAATGGAGCAGCCAGAACTCAAACTGGTGCCCATATGGGATGCCGGCACTGCAGGTAGTGGGTTTACCTGCTATGCCACAGCACTGGTCCCAGGCCTCCTTTCATCTTAAATTATCTCTGAAAATGACCAGCATTATAGATACTAAACTCATGCATTGTGACACCTGGTCTGGAAGGCAGAGAGTTCAGTCATCTATCTTCAGGGAAAGCAGGATCCTCTAACTGTCTGAGATTGTGAGAAGCTGGGTCAAATAAAACTGTCTGGAAAAGAAAAGGTTCATCTGGACTCTAAGAACTTTTCTGAAGACCAAGTCCCTAAAGGACAAAGGAATAGAGGGATGTAAAAGAAAAAGAGACAGCCCCATTATTTCCTCTTCCCATTTGTTTTCCTCAGCTGCTGCCTCCCTCACTCTGCAAATGAAGGATATTTGACATTGTTCACTGAAATTTGGAATCTTATTGTAGGTTTCATTACAGAAGTTGTATGGGGTTTGGCTTTGGCTTTAAGGTCATGACTAAGCAGCATATTGGAACACCACTGAAACTGAGTGATTTTAAGAAAGAGGAGAAGCACCATGTGGTGACATCTTGGAAAAGACTGCCAACTAATCCTATGACTGTCATGTGGGATTTATCAACTGAGTAACAAACATGTGTTTGACTTCCAAAGCATAAAATGTATTTGGCCTTTGCCAGTTTGAACTCTCTCTCTTTCTCTCTCAAAGGAAGTAGGGGATGGATGGATGGATAGGCATATAGATGATAGTTTGGTAGATAGGTAGGAAGGAAGAAAGGGAGCATTTCTCTTTCTTTAAATAAGTTTATAAGCTATGTAAAAATTGAGTCATTTTTGATCAAATGCCTTTTTTATGTGTAACAGCTAAGAAGCCACAAGCTCATCATGTGATGAGGAAGAGTCTGGCATTGCATCTTAAATTGTAATTATCTTCTTTGCAGGAATCTTAGAGAAAAGACTTTGATAATGTTCTTATTGTTGGCAGTGTGCTTCAACTTATCCTAGGACATCATCACCTGGATGAACTACACAGAAGCTAAGAAGCTGTCAGGGTAGGCCAACATCATTGGTGTTGCTATTGAAACTTTTCCTTTTGTGCAACAGTTTATTACAATTTATTCATTTCCTTTATATTTTCTTACTTAGTATCCAGGAATTCAAATATAGTTCCCGGAAAAGAGTATTTTGGACCTGTTTTCAGGTGGCCATTTTTCTGAAGTTCCCCAAACTCAAAACATTAGTAAACATATCAGGGTATAATATGTTCTTAAACATTGGTAGCTGATGGTGAATAGATGTTATTTCTTGCCTTAACCATGTTAGTAGTTTACTTTTGATGGATAACAAAACACTCCTTTAATATTGTATCCTTCATTCTGATACAGCAGATTTGAATTTGGATATAGTTCATAAATGTTATTAAGTAGATGTTTCAGAGAGCCTCTAGGATACCTTTTAGCCAGAGAAACATAGAGGCTTGAAAGCCTCTCTAATTAGTGAACACTTTCTGTCAATGGATTGGATTCTATGATGTATTTGGTTTTCATTTGTTAGCAAGCTTTCTATTTATTTTCTATATATTATGCTATGAATTTCCAGCATAGCACAGGTATTTGTTTGAGACAGAATCCCATCATTGTGATGTGTTTCTGGTGTTCTTAAACTTGAATTATCATTTTCTGCCTTGGGTTGTTTCCAAACTCTGTTAATACTCTCAAGGTAAATAACCGTAGCAACAAGCCCTGGGATGCCAGGGAAAATACGGGAGTTTATTTTCTGCAACAGAAGGAGTTTTAATAATGTCTGGTCACCATAGTCTGTTGATCACAAGAATCAATAAAGACAACTGCTTTCTATAGTTCATTTCCTTTATCTGGAGATCCTAGGGCGAGTAATCATCTTGATCTACCTGGCACTGTAGAGGTTATTGGGATTTGGAAGTTTCATTACGAAAAGTGATGAAGTTCTGAGTAAACCAGGACAAGTTGTTCACCAGGGTAGTCCTTAGGTCTGAAAGACTGCAAATTCTTGATCTGGAGATTTCAGAGATCTGAGCACTATGATGGGCTCATTGTAGATTTTCAAGTACAATTCTTTGGTTCCAGGTCTGCCTGAAAATGATACAGGAAGAGCCTATCTATTCATGGCCCCTAGAAGGGCAGTCTTTTCTCAAAAGCAGGGCCTTCTTCTTTAACTACTGCCCAGCTGCTAAGGGATTTGTTCCTGCTCTTGGTGTCTGATCCTACAGATTTTGTGGTTTTCATTTCCTCTCTTAGGCTTTGACAGGTTTGATAAAGGAAAAAAGTTACATTCCCTCCATCTACTGTTTAAACAAGATCTGTCTTCCTTCTCCTTTTTGTAACAGCTTTAAAGAGACGTAATTTGCATGCCATACAATTCACTCATTTAAAGTATACAAATCATTTGATAATACTGTCATTAGAAATATACAGGAAATATCATTGAAAACAAAAATTGATTTTATTTTTAATAACAAGTTTAAATAGATATATTTCACATACACAAAAAAAATCTTAAGAGTTTTTAGAATATTCACAGAGTTGTAAACTGTCACCACAATATAAGATTAGAACATTTCACCAGCCTCAAAAGAAATTCCACACCCACGAAAATCACTCACTAGTCCTTCATCCCTCTTGCCTCTGGCAAGCACTAATTTACTTCTGTCTCTATAGATAAACTGTTCTGGATATTTCACACAAATGGAGTCATACAATATGTGATCTTGTGTGACTAGTTTCTTTCAATTAACTTAAAGTTTTTTCTCTTTTTTAAAAGATTTTTTACTTTGAAAGTCAGATTTGAGAGAGAAAGAGAGGCAGAGGCAGAGAGAAAGAGAGAGGAAGAGAGAGAGGGAGAGAGAGAGAGAAAGAGAGAGAGAGATCTTCTGTCTCCTGCTTCACTCTCCAGATGGCCTCAAAGGACAGTGCTGGCTCTGGCCTCAGAATCAGCCCTAAAGGCACTCGGATCTGGCTGAAAAGCCCATGAGAGTATTTCAGGCATGGAAAGCCAAGGCACTCTGGCAAAAAGATCTCTGTGAGTGAGATCCCAGTGGAAAGAACAGGTCTTCAAAGAGGGAGGTGCCTTTCTCTGAAGGGAGGAGAGAACCTCCACTTTGACTATGACCTTGTCTAAACAAGATAAGAGTCGGAGAACTGAAGGGGCTTCCATAGCCTTGGAAACTCATGACTGGTGCATAGGGAGATTATTGATGCCATAAACAGGAGTGTCAATTTGTAAAGTCAACAACAGGAGTCACTGTGCACTTACTCCTCATGTAGGATCTCTGTCCTTAATGTGCTGTACACTGAGGCTTAATGCTATAACGAGTACTCAAGCAGTATATTTCACTTTGTGTTTCTATGGGGGTGCAAACGACTGAAATCTTTACTTAATGTACACTAAACTGATCTTCTGTAAAAAAAAAAAAAAAAAAAAAAGAAATTATCAATTCCCAACTTGACTCTCACTGGGATTAAACATGACAATAGGTCTGATCTGATTTCATCATGATTTTAAAAAAAATCATCTATTTTTCACTTTATGTTTCTGTGTGGGAACAAACTGTTGAAATCCTTACTTAAGGTATACTAAGCTGATCTTCTGTATATTAAGATAATCAAAAATGAATCTTGATGTGAATGGAAGGGGAGAGGGAGTGGGAAAGGGGAGGGTTGTGGGTGGGAGGGACGGTATGGGGGGGAAAGCCATTGTAACCCATGAGTCGCACTTTGGAAATTTATATTCATTAAATAAAAGATAAAAAAAAAAAAAAAAAAAAAAGGACAGTGCTGGGCCAAACTGAAGCCAGGACCCAGGAGCTTCATCTGGATTTTCCATGTGGGTGACAGGGGCCCAAACACTTGGGCTATCTTCTTTTTTTAAGATTTATTTATTTATTTATTTGAAAGAGTTTCACACAGAGAAAGGAGAGGCAGAGAGAGAGGTCTTCCATCCTATGGTTCACTCCCCAATTGGCCACAATGGCCAGAGCTGTGCTGATCAGAAGTCAGGAGCCAGGAGCTTCTTCCAGGTCTCCCACATGGGTGCAGAGGCCTAAGGACTTGGGCCATCTTCCACTGCTTTCCCAGGCCATAGCAGAGAGCTGGATCAGAAGTGGAGCAGCTGGGTCTCGAACCGGCATTGGGCTATCTTCTGTTGCTTTTCTCAGACCATTAACAGGGAGCTGAATCAGAAGCAGAGCAGCCATGACACAAACCGGTGCCCATATGGGATACTGGCATCACAGGCAGAGGCTTTACTGCTATGCCACAACACCAGCCTCAACACAGAGTTTTCAACATTCATCCATGCTGTATCATGTGTTAATATTTCATTCCCTTTGACAGCTGAATAATACTTCTTTGTATGGGTATACCATATTTTGTTTATTCATCTTTTAATGGAAATTTTGATTATTTCCACTTTTTGACTATTTTGAATAATGATGGAGTGAGTGTGTGGCACAGTGGATTAAGCTGCTGCTGCTTAGGAAGCTGTGATCCTTTAGTAGAGTGCCCGGTTGAGTCTTGGCTACTCCATTCTGATCCAGTGAATGGAAGATCTCTCTCTCTCTCTCTCCCTCCTCCACCACCCCCCACCTCTGTCACTCTGTCATTCAAATAAATAAAAGTAAATAAATAAAATTTGAAAAGTAATGATGCTGGAACTGGCATTGTGGAAAATCAGGATAAATGGCTATCTGCAACACTAGCCGTCTATATGGGTGTCAGTTCCAATAATGGTCACTTGACTTCTGATCCAGCTTCCTGCTATTGTGTCTGAGAAAGCAGTGGAAGATGGTCCAAGTGCTTGGGCCTCTGACACTCGTGTGAGAGGCCCAGATGGAGCTCCTGGCTCCTTGCTTTGGCCTGGCCCAGCCCTGGCCATTGTAGCCATTTGAGGAGTGCACCAGGGGATGTTAGATAAAGTGCGCGCTCTCTCTCTCTCTCTCCCCTTCTGTAACTCTGCTTTTCAAATAAAGAAATAAATAAATGATGCTATGCACCTTTATGAACCAGTTTTTGCATGTGTTAGTGAACATATGCCTTCACCTTGTTTGAATATACATTTGTAAACAAAATCGATGGATCATATGATAACTCTATTCTTAACCTTTTGAAGAACTTCTAAACCGTGTTTTCAAGTAGCTATACCATTTTACATTTCTACCAGCAATGTATAAGGACTCCAATTTCTCCACATACTTGACCAAGACTTGTTACTTTCTTGATTTGTTTTCAACATTAGGCATCCCAATGGGTGTGAAGTTGTACCTCACTGTTCACATCAGGTAAACTAAGTTCCCAGCTGGATGATGAGTAGACATTAAGTAGAAGTTAATCCGACAACAGCATGATTGTCTAGCCCAAGTGCTCTGCAGAAAGTAATAAATTGACCCAGAATCCTTCAACCAGCCACTCAACTCCACTTTTGTGATTGGTTAAGCTTAGATTTCCTGCAGGTAGGATGGTAGGATGTCAATCAGCTTCGCCCTTAGTCCCTCATTCATTGGTCAACAATTGTTCACCCCTTCAATACCAATCAGCACATTGGAGTAAAGACGAGCCTGTATCCCTAATACCTTAGAGTTTTAGAGGGCCCCAGTATCTCTTCCTTAGCTTGTAGTTCTTCTGTAAAGATTAACTCAAGTGTTGTGGCACAGCTGGGAAAGCCACTGTTTGGATGCTCACATCCCATATCAGTGTGCCAATTTAAGTCCAGGCTATTCCACTTCTAAACCAGTTTTCTGCTAAAGTGGTGGATAATTGGCTTAAGTATTTGAGTTCTTGTCACCATGTGGGAGACTCAGGTGGAGTTCCTGGCTTCTGGCTTTAGCCTGGCCCAGTTTCAGCAGTTGTGGCAATTTGGGGAGTGAATCAGTAGATGGAAGATTCTCTTTCTGTTGCTCTGCCTTTCAAATAAATAAACAAGCAAACAAACAAACAATCTTTTTAAAAATAAGTTAAGGAGTGATACAATTGCCTTCATAGTTTACATAGCTAACATCTCAAAGCTGGGCTCTATTCTGAGAGGTTTGTAGGAACTCACAGTATACCCAAAGTATATGCAAAGTATACCCACAGTATACTCAAAGTATACCCAATCTACCCAGAAACCTGGACAGACATTGCCATTCCAAAGGAAACTCTCTGGCCCCTCTCACCAATCAAAGGAAGGCCAGGTGCACTGTGGACCAACCAGAGGCCCACACATGAGCTGATCATGCAGTGCACATTCCCAACTTTGAACTATAAGATTCATTCCTCTAATCTTTCAGGGAGGCCAGGCCTTGCTTTGTGCTTTGCTATAAACGTCTCTTTTTTCTACTGTCCTGGTGTCTGTGATTGGCTTGCTGCATGTCGGACAAGCATCTTTACTTTTGTGTTTCTGTAGTAAATCTGCCCAACAGTTTCAGGGTATCCTACAGCAGGGGTTGGTGGTAATGGGATGAATGTGAGAAAAGAGGAGAAGTATATTAATCATCTTGGCATCTTGGTTGGTTGAAACTGAAGCTGGTAGAAGCTAGAACAACTGTGTTCCCTTGGAGAGGCAATACTATAAGTCATCCTTGTCCATCACTTTCCATGATTTAATTTATTGGTTTAGTAGAAAGCATTACAGAATACCAACCAAAAAATTTTGTATTACAAATGTCTGGGCCATAGCCGGCGCCATGGCTCAATAGGCTAATCCTCCGCCTTGTGGCACCAGCACACCGGGTTCTATTCCTGGTCAGGGCGCCAGATTCTGTCCTGGTTGCCCCTCTTCCAGTCCAGCTCTCTGCTGTGGCCCAGGAAGGCAGTGGAGGATGGCCCAAGTGTTTGGGCCCTGCACCCTCATGGGAGACCAGGAGGAAGCACCTGGCTCCTGGCTTCGGATTGGCGCAGCGCACCGGCCGCAGCACGCTGGCCGTAGCATGCCAGCCATAGCGGCCATTTGGGGAGCAAACCAACGGAAGGAAGACCTTTCTCTCTGTCTCTCTCTCTCTCTCACTGTCTAACTCTGCTTGTCAAAAAACAAAAACAAAAACCACCAAAAACAAAAACAAAAACCACCAAAAACAAAAACAAACAAACAAACAAAAAAAAAACACCAAAAAACAAATGTCTGTAGTATTTCCTGTAATTCTCGGTTTGTTTTCCTTTTTTCCTTTGATTTTGAAGCAATTAAGGAAAAGCTACCTGTCCACTGGACAATGGGATTTTCTTTCTAACAGCACAGTGTCTTCAGAGGGTGAGCTGGTGACAAATAGAACACCAGGACGTAAGATCCAGGACCTTACCCCTTCTATTTTAAAAGTCAGTTCAATGTTTCCTCACTTTAATTGTCTCAAACAAAATTTAATCTATTCTTTTTTTCTGTTTAGATAATATTGATCCTGTTAGGTATAATTCTATGTTTGAAAAAGAAACAGAGTTGTTGGCTATAATGGACTGAATGTTTATGACTCTCTCAAAATGTTAAAATCCTACTCTGTCCTGTATTACAAAGTAGCGCCTTTGGGAAATAATTAATTTTTGAGAGTAAAACCATCACAAATGGATTACTGTCCTTATAAAGGGGACTCTAGTTAGCTCACTCTACTTCTCTCCATGTGAGGATATGACTAGAAGTTGCCTGCACCGCTGAAGAATGTCTTCACCAGAATCCAACCATACTGTCACCCTGATCTCCAGCTCCAACCTGCAGAACTGCATTCTCGCTCGCGCTCTCTCGCTCTCTCTCTTTTGCTTTCTCCACCCTTCCTCCCTCTCTAATTAATTAATTTCTAAAAGAAAGAATACAAACAGGGAGGGTGGATAAGCAGTAAATAAGAGTTTGGGGTTGGGATTGATGGTACTTTTAGCCAAGGGCAGGTAAAGGAAGCCTCACCGAAAAGGCAGCATTTGGGAAACACTTCAGGAATTTAATCCAGCAGGTACCAGGAGAAGAGCAGGTCCTGCAGAGAGAGTGGGAGATGCAAATTACTTGAAGTGGAAGGTGGAGGGTGTGTAAGAGGAGGCCCACTTGTCTGGAGTAGAGGGAACACAGGGAGTTGAACAGGAGATGTAGAGAAAGAGCTAATGAGGCCTCAGGTTCAGCAGGGCCTTGTATCCTCTGTAAAGATTTGGGCTTTTTCTCTGAGTAAGAGGAGAAGCCAGCAGAGATTCTGAACACATGAATCACATGACCTGATTCTATCTGCCCACTTGAGGATAGAAAAGAAATAAGGACATTCTTAGGGCAGAAGTAGCGAGACCTGTTAGGAAGCTACTGTAATGATCCAGGAATGAGGCAGTGTTGCCTTGGACTGGGGAGATGTGTTTGCATTTTTAATATATTTTTAATGTTGTGCTCCCATTTCATGCATTCCAAGCACAATTTTTCTCTTTCACATTTTAACATATATGAAGTTAGAAAGGAATAGCATCTTATGATTGCTGTCGGGCCAGCGGCAGTTAGGATGGATATTGTTTAGTTAGTTAAAATCTTTCCAGAAATACTGTCTGGTAATTGCCAGCCCTAATCCATGGATACGGATGTGTTGTGACAAATCCAGATTTTATGTATTTAAATATCAAAGATTAGTATCTTTGCTCAGAAACACATCATAAGTGTGCTTCTTTACTTATTCCATTAACACAGTCAGCCCTCCATATCCAGGGCTCTGCATCTTCAGATTCTACCAAATGGGGTCAAAAATGTTCAGAAAAAACTGTCTTCTCTGAATATGTAGGGCCTTTTCTCTTGACATTATTCCCTAAACAGTACAGTGTAACAGCTATGCATTCATATAGCATTTGTGTTGTCCTAAGTATTATAAGGAGATGATTGAAAGTAGCAAGGGGGAGGTACATAGGTTATATGCAACTACTATGCCATTTTACACAAGGAACTGAGCATCCTCGGATTCTGGTATCATCAGTGAGGTCCTGGAACCAATCCCCTAGTAATATCAAGAAATGACTCTACCTTATTTGGGGCCATCATCCTTTTGCACCCAGGCATTAACTTTCTCTAAATTTCTTCAGCATTCCAGTTTTTCATCTTCAATAAACATTGCAGACTGGTGCCAGAGTTATCCTCCTGAAAATCAAAGTTAATCATATATGCATGGTTCTGATGCTCTATGGTAGCTACAGAAGTCATTCCTAACTTGACAGCTGCACAGGAGACCCCTGCAGTCTGCCTCTCACCTATTATTTCTCCAGCTTATTTCTCACCATTCCCTAACTTGTACTTTCTCCTTATACTGAACTAAGACCAGGACCTTGTCTGAACTGCATTCTTTCCACTTGTTTTTACCTGTTTTTCTCCCAATAATTACTTAATCTCCAGGATCCAACTCTGCTGTCATCTCTTTTGTGAAATTTTTTTACCCTCAAGCAGATTAATTATTTATCTTTCCACAAAATACGCTGCATGGAAATATAACTCATGTGTTTGCCCCTTTGTCCCTTCCAGGAGGCTGTGAGCTGGGGAATCTCATTTAATTTTTGCCTCCCTTGGGCATAGTGATATACTTGGCATAGATCACTCATACAATATTTGTATTGTATGTTTTTATTATATTGGATTGGATGAACCACTATTCCCTCTTCTGCAAAATGCAGAGAATAATAGTACCTGCCTCATAAAGGTGTCTGCATTTTTGAGATTTCATTAAAATCAGTACAAGAAAGAATGATAGTTGACACATGAGTACTCAAATATTTGCTCTTTTATTTATGGCAGCACTGTTCTCAATAGCCAAGACAACTGTCCATCAACAGTTGAATGGATAAAACAATGTGGTATACGGTTCTAAGTACAATAAAAAAGAATGTCCTGTCATTCACAGTAAAGTGGATGGAACTGGAGGGTATTGTGTTACATGAAACAAGCCATACAGAGAAAGACAAATACTGCATGTTCTCCCTCATATTTATAGGATAAAATAAGGATCTCAGTACAGCACAGTGATTCCTAGAGGATGAGAAGAGCTGGGGGTAAGGTGGTTGGGGAAATGTTGAATAACTGGTACCAAAAAGACAGAATAAGTTCCTAGTTTTGTACAACACAGTGAGGTGATTATTATTCATAATAACCTATTATAAATTATCTAAACAAATAGAAGAAAGAGGTTTGAAGGTTCAATCATATAACAGCGAAAAGGAGGGTGAAAGGTTAATTATCTTGATTTGACCTGTACAAATTGCACACATTTACTGAAGGACCACACTCTACTCCATACATATGTACAGTTATGGTTGGTGATTAAGTGATTAAGATACCACTTGGGATGCCCACATCCTATATTAGGATGCTTGACTTTAAGTCCTGCCTCCATTTCCAATTCCAGCTTCCTGTTGATGCACACTCTGCCGAATAGCAGGTGAGAATAGCTTTAGTACTTGAGTCCCTGCTGCCCATATGGGAGGGCTGGATTGCTTCAATTTGGCCTACTCACTATTGTTATGAGTATTTGGAGTGAATCAGTGGATCTCAATATCTCTCTCTGCCTTTCAAATAAATAATAATTTTAAAGTTAAATTAAAATGTTTTTAAATCTAAAGAGATGGAAATGCTAAAGAATCAGTTTTGATCTCCACACATTGAATACATGTGTTGACTTGTCACACAGAAACCCACAAAAATGGGCAATTAAAATTTTAAGGTTTGTTCTTTGAAAAAATGTATTCTATTATAAATAATAATGCTATTATGTTTTAATGATCGTGGTAGATTTTACTCTTATATGAAATTAGTAATATCTATTTCTAAGTGTCAGAATGGGATCTGTCCCATCACAGAAACTCCTGGTGCACTCAAAGAAAAAGAAAAAAACTCAGTGAAATGAGAAGTAACCCATTTTATTTTTCTCTTGGTGACATAGTGATGAGATATATGATTATTTGAAGATTCTAAATATAGTGCACTGATGACCCAAAAGCTTCTCTCAAATTTCACTTTTTTTAATAGCTTCTGAAAAAATATTCCCAGGAGGATCAGCTTTTGATCTCAAGTTGGATAGTTTATATAGTTTACAGTGGTGTGTTGTGATTTATACATTGACTTTATCTCTGTTTATGTCTAGTTTTCTTTGGTCATAATAAACACATCACTCGGTTACGGTTACTCATTTAGTCTCTTCTAGTATGGAGATAAGCAATCTCATGCTTAGATTAAGTCACTAAAACAGACATCATTTGAGTCTTTGTTAATTCTATGATGCAAATCTCTGAATAATGAGGAAGGAGTGTATGATGCAGTGGTTAAGATGCCTACATCAGAGTGCCTGGGTTCGAGTCCCAACTCTGTCTCCTGCTAATGCAAACCTTGGGAAACTCAAGTACTTTAAAAAGGACTTTGATGCAATGTCTACCTATGACTTAGGAATTTTTCTGATTGCAACACCAATATAGATGAATGCTATGGTTTGCATGTTTGTCCCCTCCAAAACTCATGTTGAAATGTAACTGCCATTGTAACAGTATTAAGGGGTAGGAACTTTAAGAGTTGATGAGGCCAGGTGGGCTCTACCTTTATGAGTGGGACTGATGCCATTACAAAAGGGCAAGTTCAGCCTGTCAGTCTATCTCTCTCACTCTCTTCTCTCCCTCAGTCTCCTTTCCTCTCTATCCTGTTGCCCCTATTCTTCTTTCCTCCCACCAGGTGATGCAGCAAGACTTTCACCTGATGCTAACTCCTTGTTAGTGGGCTTCCTACTCTCCAGAACTGTGAGTCAATAAACTCTCAGTTATTAAAAATTTCCCAGTGTTGTGGTTTGGATGTGGTTGAAGTGTGTCCCCCAAAGAGTCATGTGTTGGAAGCCTGATGCCCAGTGTAATGATGTGAGAGGTAATGGAACCTGGAGGGTTGAGTTTACAGGAGGTAATTAAGTCAGTGGGAGTGTTATCTCCCTAAGGCACTAATATAGTTCTTGTGGGATCCCAGATGGTTCTCACTGAAATGAGGCCACCTCGTGTATCTGGCCCCTTCTTCATATGAATGATTCTCCATCATATTTTGATGGAGCTGTAGGAGGAGGGCTGTCTGGAACATCACAATATATGTGAACTGGCAGAGGGTGCTGTGAGATAGAATAAAGAGGACAAATTCAAGATTACTCAGAATGCAATTCATTGGAGGACTCACAAGTAGGACTGTGGTCTTGGGCAGCTGTAAGATAACTGGTCTGCATATTCCCAGTCAGCAGTAAGAGGTTTATATGTTAAGCTGGGTAAAGGTGGTTCAAGGCTAACCCAAGTGCACCTGTACTATCTCAAGAAATACTAACATTCTAGGCATCAGATTTGGGACATTCCAGGGTCTGACCCAGCAATACAATCCTAGCAGGTTATCATAATGACTTTTGTTCAACCTATCATAGGGTTTGGGATGATTGTCAGAGTTATCTAAAGGGCAAGATGGTAGTCACATCCAAAATGGCTGCAATCACATCAAACTGAACTCCTATGGCCAAATCAGATGCTTAACTGTTGGGGCCAAGCTGCTCAGTCTTGAACTTTCAGCCTCCAAAACTTTGAGCTAAATAAATCACTTTGTAAGGTACATAGTCTCAGATATTCTTAATAGGAACAGAAAATAAACATTCTGTTACAGCAACATAAATAGTCTAAGACAAGTGAATTTTAGTATGTGATTAAAGATTTCTCTAAAGATTTTAATTATTGGGCCCGGCACTGTGGTGCAGTGGCTAATGCTCTGGCCTGAAGCACCGGCATCCCATATGGGTGCCGGTTCGAGACCTGGCTTCTCCACTTCTGATCCAGCTCTTTTCTATTGCCTGGGAAAGCAGTAGAATACGGCCAAGTCCTTGGGCCCCTGCACCTGTGTGGGAGACCCAGAAGAAGCTCCTGGCTCCTGGCTTCAGATTGGCGCAGCTCCAGCCATTGGGGCCAATTGAGGAGTGAACCATCGGATAGAAGACCCCCTCTCTCTCTCTCTCTCTCTCTCTGCCTCTCCTCTCTCTGTGTAACTCTGACTTTCAAATAAATAAACAAATCTTTAAAAAAAGATTTTAATTATAACTATTCCATAGAGGTGGGAATTTGGCCTAGTGGTTAAGACATCAGTTCTGAAGCCCATATGCTGTATTGGAATACCTGGATTTGATGCCAGTCTCTGGCTCCCAACTCCAGCTTCCTGCTAATACAGATTCTGGGAGGTAACATGAAAGCTCAATTGATTGGGTCCTTCCCACCCACATAGAAGATCTAGATTTTATTCCTGGCTACTAGCTTTAGCTCAGTACAGCCCTGGCCTAGGCATATGGGAAATGAACCAGCGGATTGGAGCACCCCCTTTCCTCTTCCTATATATTCATCTTCATGAATGCGCTATTGTTTTTGATACTTGCAATGGCTCCCCTTCACTTTTTTTCTTGTTTGGGACATTCAGAAACTGTAGCATTTATTGAAAAAGTGAGAGTGTTGTATACATTTATTATTTTCCAATTAATATAATCAATCTGTGATGTAAAGTACACTAGGGGAATTATTCTAGTACATTTCTAATCTCCTCTTTCCCTTTCTTCTTACTGATGACCTTGATTGATGATTCATAGGAAATAGAAGCAAACTCTCATTTCTCCAGCATGCTGAACTGTGACCCACTCTTTCATACTGCTGTTCAAGGATGAAGTATCCCTGCTCCTAGCTAAGGTCAACCTTTCACTTGTACTTGGGATCTCACTCTCTTACCTTCTCAAGGACTTCACTCCTACAACTGTGCCCTTCTTTCTTGCACTACTGATTTTGCTCTATCTAGAGGATTGTTTTCATCAGCAAACAAATCTGCTCTTGACCTCCCATTCCTGTCTAGCTGCTACCCAATTCTCCTTTTTTCTCTACAGCAGAACTTCTCAAATGAATGACTTTCCATGTGACACCACCTATTTTCTTTCCTCAATCCATAGCAATCAGACTTTTGTCTTCCTCCCCACATCTGAATCTTCTAAAAGATTATTCAGTTAACACAATGTCACCAAATGCAGTGATCACTTTTCTGCTTCCATCTTACTCAACAATTCAGCATTTGTGACTACCCGCTACATCTTGAGACTCTCTCTTCTCTTGGCCCCT